GAAAACTCAAGCACACTTCCTTGCCTTATTTAATCGCTTTCTATCATAAGAGAGGTCATGGTAGCCTACGAGTGGCCGTGCCCTCCCCTGCGAGGTAAAACGGAAGCGAGGGACCGTCTACGAAAACCTGACACTATTTAATCTATGCAACAGTATGTAACCTGATAACATTTCTGCGAAATAGCCTACGAAACCGCTAGAAGGGAACCAAACGGACTCAGCAATGCTCCCTTCCAGATTCAGCCCGCAAAGCGTCAGCGGGATGGAATTTAAAGATCCTCATGGACCGTGGTCTAGGGGCCGTTGCTCGCATCAGCATGGATTGAAACTGGGTGTGACAGGTGCCACGGATGGTAGGTTCGGAGCATCCGCTCGTGACTATTATAGCCCAGCTACCATGACTTGGGTTCGACTGAGGAAGTTGCAGCACGTGACTCTTGTGGCTAGGATCCCACCCCTCCGGCCGGTTGTCGTCTGCGGTGGACTGCTTGCAGTGCTCCGCGACTGCTGCTGGGGCCTGTCTTCTCATACGATCGTTGAATCGTCGATCGTTTTCAGGTTAGCTGGCGCTCGGAAGTGCAGTTTTATCAGATGAAGCAAATGATTAGAGGCCTTAGGATCGTAGGGACCCTAACCTATTCTCAAACATTAAATTGATACGATACTGATGCGCTCTCGATGGCCCTTGGAAATCCGGGGAAAGCGATGATTTTTGCGTCTGGTCGTACTCATAACCGCAGCAGGTCTCCAAGGTGAGCAGCCTCTGGTTGATAAAATACTGTAGGTAAGGGAAGTCGGCAAAATGGATCCGTAACTTCGGGAAGAGAACTGGCTCCGTCAGCACCGAGTCTCTTAGGCTGAGACTTGAAGCGGTTGGACTGGCTGAGGTCGAGGCGGCTGGCTCCAGTCGGCGCAGTCGAGGTCAGATCAGGAGGAAGTGGCTATGGATTGGCCCAGCTCTGACCCGGGTCAGATGGGGAGAGGCGACGAATGGTGAACTTGAAACTGGCAGTGATCGTGGGAATCAGACTATTTAATTAAAACAAAGCGTTGCGATGGCTGGAAATGGTGTTGATGTAATGTGATTTATACCCAGTGCTCTGCTGATTCAACCAAGCACAGGTAAATGGCGGGAGTAACTATGACCCTCTAAAGGTAGCCAAATACCTTGTCATCTAATTAGTGATGCGCTTGAATGGATGAACGAGATTCCATATGTACCATCAAACGAAACCGCAGCAAAGGGAACAGACTTTGCCGAATCAGCGAGGAAAAGGACCCTGTTGAGCTTGACTCTTGTCTGACCTTGTAAAAAGACATGAGAGTTGTAGAGTGAGTGGGAGCCGCTCTGCTGCGCCGGTGAGACGTCACTACTCTGATGGCCTCTCTTTACCGTATTGGAGGGAGTGCAGGAGAACCACAAGGTTCACTTTCTGGAGTTAATGCCCAGGCCTCATGTCGGAGCCAATCCAAGTCCGAGACACCGCCGGGCTGGAAGTTTGGCTGGGGTGGTACATCTGTCAAATGATAACGCAGGTGTCCAAAGGCGAGGTCAGAAAAAACAGAAATCTCACGTAGAACAAGAGGGAAAAAGTTCGCTTGATTATGAGTTTTAGTAGGAATGTAAACCGCGAAAGCGTGACATATCCATCCTTTAAGCTTGAGGAGTTTCAAGCTGGAGGTGTCAGCATTCATAATAATTCATTGGCAGAATTCGCCAAGTGATGGATTGTTCACCCATGTGACGATAGGTTTTCGCGCATCAAACTGAACATTGCGGGAAACGTACAAAACGGGGCAAAATAACTCGGTAGAGACCACTCGGCTAACGAGAACGGAAAGTCGTCACGATTTCCTGGCATGCGGAGATCTACTTCTAGCGAGCTTGTACGGACGTCAAGGAACAGAGAGCGTTTTGGTTCCACAGTAAACTTTTATTCGCAGAGCGCTCTAACATAATCACGCTAGAGTCAAAACTAAAGCTGTAATCGGCACGCCGTCGTGTATGTAATCGGTACGCCGTCGTGGATGTAATCGAAAAAGCTTTACAAAGTACTTGCTTAAATATGAACTGGTGTGAGGTTCCATCGTTATAAACGAGCGGGAAAAGGTCTCTTTTAAGTTAAACGAAAACTACTTAAATATTCCATTTGTTTCTACGACGGAAAGAATCTCAAAATTAAAAAGACGGATACAATGAACCCCAGGCCATTAAAAATAGGAAACCTAGGTGAGAATTCACAGCTCTGGTGTAGAAAGTATACCTATCTTAATTACAGCAGAGCAGTATAGGAAATAAAAACGGAAAAACAATTAAAAGTTTCTGCTTATCTATGCAAGGTTGGTGTGGAAACTATCGTGTGAAAGGAAATTTAAGTTACGAGTATGAACTCAGCTGCTAACTACCATGAGAACCAATTTTTCAAAAAGACCATTAACACTTATCTTTACCTAAAATTTTACCAGTAGTAAATAACAGAAGTGCCGACGTGCAGGTGCATAATGAAAGCGAGTAGCAAGCAAAATCTATTCCAAAAGCTACTGCGGTTTTATACATTTTTTAATTTACTAAAATAGAGGAACTTGAATAAAATTGAATAAATTGGAAATGGTTAAATGTGAAAGTTTACGAATAAATATGTTGCAAAAAAACACACGAAAAAATCAGTAAGTTTTCCCGTAACAGATCGTCGTGAGACAGGTTAGTTTTACCCTACGGATGATATATTGCTGCGATAGAAATTATGCTCAGTACGAGATGAACTGCAGATTCAGATCGCTGGCATTTGCACTTGGCTGTTGGACTATGACTCAATGCCTCTAATAATAATGATAATAATAATAATAATAATAATAATAATAACAACTTCATTTAAGGAGGGTAATACACAATAATTCAAATGATGAACTAGTGGCCCTCGATCCTAAAGTACCGTATTTAGAATTAAAATGTATTTGAGGATTATAAAACTGGTCAACAGGTCTATAAGAATGCAAGCTAAAAACTAGATAAAATAAAATATGCCGCTTGGGTTAGGTTAAATCGCCTTCAGACTAAAATATTCTACTTCATCGCAGCTTGATAGAAAATGTCTATGAAAGGTCTTTCTGAAAAAAGAAACTTTTGTCGCCTTTTTTTTTTAAGGTCAATGGGTACTTGGTTCCACAGCCTTGTCGCAAATACGCTAAAGGACCTCCCTCCTTCGGTTTCGCGATTGAAACGAGGGCAGGCGAGATTTAATTTATTATAACGACCAGTTCGTGTGTATAAGTCTGCATTAAATTTGAGTAGATCGTACATATAAGCAGGACAGCTTCCTTGTAAACGCTTTAAGACTAAAGTACTCTCAATTAACTTAACTTCGTCATAGAAAGGGAGCCATGCTAATTTCTTAAAGAGTTTCACGCTGTTCGACCTTGTGTCAGCTTCCAAGATAACTCGGGAAGCGCGTTTTAGAAGCTGGAAGACTCTCATCATGTTATCACTTGAACAGTTCGATCAAACAGTTGATCCATATAACATTAG